TTACACCGAAAAAAGATCTGCTAAAGCGGTGAAAATGTTTGGTTTATTTGACTTTTTATTCAATGGCATCTAAAATATATTAGGATTTACTGACGCTGACTAATATTACGGGAAGCTTTAGATTCAACAGAATAAAATTGGCCTTCAGTATTATAAATACAGTCGTATCGGCAAAATTTGCCCTAAATATGGGGTAGGAAATGTTGGTCGTGAAACTATCTTTCTGAGAAGTCCGATATTTTTGATCATATGACAGGAAAAATGCCAAATTACTTGCGTTGCTTTGTTCTCTCGAGAACGCAAGTTTATCATACAAATGTTAAGGTTATGTCTAGCTGTCACACCTCAGTTGATATACTTCAAATATTTTTATTATGTAACATCTGAGGATATACATTACTAGTTTGATACAGCATATTTTCTTAACTGTAAAAAAAGAAAGAACTTTCAAAATATGTTAGAACATATGAGAATAAAATATGACAACTTCGTTTTCATCACGAAACATTCAGTGTCAACTGTGTAAACAAATTAATAATTCATACATTAAAAATCACTTGGGTAAAATTTGTGCCACAATTATAGATAATTAGAAGAGAAGACTGTCTAGAAGTAAAGCACAAAAGGAACCTATATATACCAAGCTATTTCTATTCAGTAACTCGCTTTTCGGCTATTTCTATATATCTTTATAGTAGTGCTTAACATGAAACTTTTGTCTGATGGTGTTCAAATTATTTTGATATTCAGAACCACAGACACAGACGATTAAATATTCAGATATGATAAATTTTATAGGCGCAAAGAAAGAGTGAAGTTTTAAATATAAAACGTTTGTTTATTCTCGTATTTTTTGCAACTTCTTGGAGCTTTATATGAACTTTATATTTATGAAACATAATGGTTCATATAAAACTTCAAGTAGAAAAAAAAACGAACAACAATGAGTGGATAGAGCACGTGATGTCTACTTCTACCATGTATAAATAAATACCTGCGCACGAGCAAGTTCAATACATGCACTAGATGAAAGAACCAGCACAGATCGATAATTTGGTGCAGACACAACCTTTTCATCATTCTCAAGGTACTTTGTTAAAGATACCTATTGGTTTTCACACAGATAACACACTGGTTAAACTTGCATCATCATTACATATACATACATGTACTTTCCGCCTGGGTTATCCTTTGAATAGAAACCAGTCTTTTGATCTAACAACACGTGTATGTAACGTACAGGAATTCCATTCTTTAGCACAATTATGAAGAAGATATACGTTTCCACATCTTTCCTTTTGTTTAACTTAGTATCTGGTGGGAAAATATCATGACTCAAACAATGGAAATTGTAGCTACACAAAGTGTTCACTTAGGAGGGATTCATAACTTTCGAAAATGTAACTTTTCCAATGTTTTAAGAAATCTAGAATTACTACAATTTTAACCCACTGCTTGCGCGAGTTTCCTAAGTGCTTCATATTTGCTAGATTCGAACATTTAATGCTGAACGTATTTTTACTGCGTGGTTTGAGCTAATTAACCGACCCCACAACCATAATCTACTACCAGTGAAAACCCTTAAAAACTATCAATTATGACATCAACTCCATGAACAATACACGAACAATACTAATAGTAAATAATACTTATGAACAACAAACTAGTGTTAACCAGTAAAAAATGAATGGCAATATCCATGGATCAAATATTGGATTTCATTTTATTTGCGATCCTCGTGGATATATTAATTTATACTATTAGAATAAATAAACCGGATAATATTTAAATACGGAGTTAAATGCAAATGAAATCAACCATTTTTCATTTATGATGATATTATCACACTGCTTACTATAACTGTAAAAATCAGAAATATTGCGGCTCAGCATATAGGAACCGCTAATACAAGTTGCCTTTTAATGCAAATAAATAGGCAATTTGTGTCGAACGTTTTACAGGTATAATATAAAAATAGAGCAATGCAATTTATTGTAAATGAATGGGAAATTACAGTTTAAAAGGTTACACTTATTGTATTGTAAATTAATAGGAAATTATAGTTTAAAATGGTACGTTTAGTCGTTTACTTGTATGCCAAAAACTGTGGCTTTAAACCTTACGATTAGTACGCATATAGTAGCTGTTTAACTATTGTGAAAGGTAAAACAGGGTTAGTTGGGCAAGTACTTGCACCATGCTTTAGGAGTAACTCAGTCGTAAGGTTCTAACATTATTATTCGCTCTTGAGAAGCCCATAACGTTTATCATTCCGATGACCAAGTTATTCTGCTCTTTAGTTAGTGATTCGTAATCAAGATCTTTATCGACAGCTTATCTTAAAATTAATAACGATGTTTGTGAGTAACACATTAACACCTTTCCTATAACCAAGCTAAATATTAAAATATGTAACGATACTTTAATCAAAAATGCAATCACTAAAATTGTGAAAAACTGATGATAGAATGGGATAAAAGGAATAAAAATTCATTCAGAATAAAATTTGGACTGAAAACAATCCAACTGAAAAAACGTCTTCGGTGAAAACAGTTCTCAGAAGAAAGATGCCACTAATGATGACGATAAAAATGTTATGATGATAATGCTTCTATAGAATGCCAGAACTTTGAGAATGATGAATGCTCTTAGAACAATAAATATAATGCAAATGTAGGTATTAAAGAATGATCCCTTATAAAAAGACAGTCCCTTGTACAACATATATTTAAAGGTCATAGATGACGACGATCAAACACAGAAACCAGCACACGAAGGAAATACCTTTAAAGAGGCTGAACGTATGGTGTACGAAGCACTTTTATTTTCTACACTGAAGTGCTTTTAAGAAGAACACTAAACACGCTTACATTTTTTTTCATCAACTCAGACATTGACACCATTCATAAATCATGAAAACCAAACGAAAATTGATGGATGAAAACAAAAATGATGATCTGGAAGACTTTGATGATGCCGTGTAAAAAAGAAAACACTGCAGGGACGAAAAATTAATTAATGATTATGTGCTTAATAGTTAATACATAAAATTGATTACGACTACAATTAATCATGTGTAATTTTATTTATCAATCCATGAGCGACTCATAAAAGTAGCATAAAATATATAATTTACTTTATGCGCAAGCATGAAAAGAAGGGTCTCAACGTCTTAGGCGCGAGAGAAACCTCGTAAACTTTATATCGTGGGTTTCCTGGCTTGGGCGAGAGCTCGTAAAACCCCACAGTGTGGATATTTTTTCCTATATAATTTGCTGGTCAGTGTCTGAACAAGGTTCCATCGCCTTCGATCTGACATTGAACCTGGATAAACGTATCAGAGAACGATGTTTGACGTGGCGTTAAAACTCAAATAACCAGAAAGTCATTCAGTGGCCTTAACGTGTAATGAAAAGCCAGAGGACATTTTTCTATAAACACTAAAAATTGGTTCGAGCTGGTCAGAAATGACATCATGACCGTTCAAGAGAAAACCGCTTGTCCGCACTAGACTCCCCCCCCCAGAAAAATTTAGGTTGGATGGGTGACGTCACTAAAGAACTGCTATGTATGTGCTTGTTGAACTACCAAAAGGCATCATGACTCTGGAGGATTCACAGCGCCACTTGAAAAACTTTGCTCATTCAAGCTAAGTCATATTTTATCCCTTGATGAAGGTCTTTCGTGTAGATTTTTAAAACATTCAACAACATTTCATAATAAATAATAAGTTGAGCGCAAGCCTTTGCTCAGTAAGATTTTGACTTCTGAGGGTCAACAAGCAGCTAAGTTGAAAGCAAACCTTTCCACAGTATGAGCTTGATTTGGCTTCTGAAGGGCAACAAGGGACTAATTTGAACGCAACCTTTATCCAGTATGAGTTTAATTTAATTTCTGAAGGGCAACAAGGATCTAAGTTAGGCTTAAGGCTTTGCCCAGTATGATCTTCACTTCTGAAAGGAAACAAGGAGTTAAGTGCAAGTTTTTGTCCACTCAGAGTTTGACTTTTGAAGGTTAAGATTTGAAAATAAACAATGTACAATATTAGTAGCAACACAATCTCATATTTCACGCTAAAGATATAACAGAAAATACCAACGTACTCTTAAAAAATAGTCTACATAACTGAGGCCACCAATATTTATTATATTCATATTTGATAAACCCTAAGAGTAATTAAATGATGGAGTCCTTATGTTGAAAATAAACCACACACACACACACACACACACACACACACACACACACACACACACACACACACACACACATATATATATATATATATAGAGAGAGAGAGAGAGAGAGACATACATACATACATAACTAAACTAGTAGTACAACTAACTAACTT